AGAGAGAGAGAGAGAGAGAGAGAGAGAGAGAGAGAGAGAGAGAGAGAGAGAGAGAGAGAGAGAGAGAGAGAAAGAGAGAGAGAGAGTACAGGATACAGCAAGCGGTGCACACAGAATATATATAACCAAGTTCAAACAGCAACAAATCATAAACACCTACCTTTTCCTCTCCTATCCATAGACGATACTCTTCAACCAGTTCTCTTCCCTACTATGTCTAAAATTCTAAATATCACACACAAATACTGCAGGCATCTCCATCTTTCGACGTAAGTCAATCTCCCTATCCTCAATCCCTGTAGTACCCTATTCCGGCCTCCGTCCAGTCAATCGCCATCCCTGAAGTCACATCTCTCCCACACCTCCTCCCTCCTCCATCCCTTTCTTTTGCCCATCTCCTTCTCTTCATTCCGTATTCCTCTCCTCTGCCTCCCACCTCTCCTCCTCCCACCTGTCCTCCCTCTCCGAATATTGTCTGTCTGGAGAATAGAATTGCACGAACAGGTCAGGACGGACTGACAGGTCTGAACACCGCCCCCACCTGCAAGCTCGGATTTCAAGCTCCAGACAAGTGTTCAAACCATAGCTGCATCCTCAATCAACCAGGTCAGAACTGACACTCTGACAGGTCCGATCACCGCTACCACCTGTGTCGTCCGATTTCAAGCTTCAAATAAGCGCTCTGAACGTGGATGCTACGATGGATCCTGTATCGACCAGATGAGAACTGACACGTCGACAGGCTGAACACCACTCCCGCCACCTGCAAGTTCGGATTTCAAGCTCAAACAAGTGCTCAGACATCGCTGCATCCTCAATCAACCCATCAGAACTGACACTCTGACAGGTCCGATCGCCGCTGCCACCTGCAGTGTACCATCGGATTTCGAGTTCCAAACCAGCGATCAGAATGTGGATGCTGCGAAGGATCCCGTATCGACCATATCAGAATTGACACTGGGACAAATCTGCACAGTGCTGTTGCGTGCACCGTCAGATTTCAAGCTCCAAATGTGTGCTCAGACCATCTATGCATCCTCCATCAGCTAGGTCAGGACTGACACTCTGACAGGGCTGAAGATGTCATTTCATCTTGATAGCAGAGATCACTGATATCCAGGCCAGATCGGACAACAGCTGGCACTGACGTCAGCCAATGCTGGCTGTCAGTCATCCTCACCCAGAGCATCACATTCATTGCATTTGATTTGATGCACATTTCATTGTCCCGCCCCCTCAGGCGCCAGGGACTTGAATCCTCTCTCCTCCCCAACCTCCTCCCGCTCCTCACACCCTCCCCCCAACCTCCTCTCCCTTCCCTCTTCCCTCGCCATCCTTCCCTCTATATCCCCCCAAGCGTCCTCCTCTCCTACAAAAATGCATGCTGCGCAATAACTGAAAACATGCCTGTCATCGAAGTCAAACGGCTCTGACACACTTTTATACATAGCCAACTTCAAAGAGAGACATACACTTGCCTGAATGAATTTTACCTTAATTGTGGTCACAATCAGTCAGTTAGTAGCAATGCTGGGATACCCTTACACTCCGTCCACTTCCCCTACTCCCTTGCAATGTATGTTACACAGTCTTCCATACACAGGTTCTTGCTTGAGCCCAAAGCAAAATTCCCAAGAGCTGATTGCTTAGCTATCCATCTGGAAAACAAGACTACTCGCATTACTTCTTCTTCCTGCTCCACCTCCTCCTCCTCCTCCTCCTCCTCTTCCTCTTCGTCCTCTTTTTTTCCTTGTGTTTTTGCTCAGTAACTATGGCTCCTCCCTTCTCCCTCGTCATACCTGACGACCTTCTCGAAGACTCCGCCATAGCTTTTGTCATAGCTTCCTCCTATTTCCGTTGACATCATCTTTCAGAACTTACCAAGAATCGAAACCACACGCTGAGAAGTCAATGTCAGAGTCAACATCAGAGTCAACGTCAGAGTCAACACAACTTTGGATCTCCGCCGTACGATCCTGAGTGACCAGATTCGACGTATCGTCTGACCAGTCAACGTCAGAGTCAACGTTAAAGTCAACATCAACTTCAGCATCAGAGTCAACAGCAGCTTGAAATCTCTGCCCCATGAAAAACAGTTGCCAGATTCAATGTATCGTCTTCTGACCACATCGAACCACACATCAGAGTCAACGTCGGATTCCAGATCGGGGTCAACCTTAGATCAACGTCACAGAGTCAACATCAATTTCTGATCTCTGCCGCCGTATGATAGCAAGTGACCAGATTCGTAACATCATCCGAAAAGTTAACGGCAAAGTCAATTTCAAAGTCAACATCGATATCGACATCACAGTCAACATCAACGTCGACGTCACCGCCTGCTTCACATCTCACCCGGATAATCCAAGAGTGACCAGATTCGTCGCATCTTCTGACAATGCCAGACCCAACATCAGAGTCTTTGTCAGAGTCAACATCAAAGTCACAATCAGATACAAAGTCAGAGTCAACATCAACTTTGAACCTCTGCCATATGATCCACTGTGACCAGATTCGCCGCATTCTCTGACCAGTCAACGTCAGAGCCATATCCTCGCCAACAACTTCAACATCAAAAGTCAAAGCCAACATCATCAGAGTCAACGTCAGCTTCCGATCCCTGCCGTACAATCCAGAGTGCCCAGATTCAGCACATCCTCCGACCAGCGAGCGTTGAAGTCAACCTTCCATATCACAATCAACATTAGCATGTCACATCTCCACCGTCCGATGCTGAGACCGCAGAGTCAGCACGTCCTCCTCCTCGTATGAGCTATGGTGGCAGGGATGCGTCGGATCGCCCATGGTTTGAAACCACGTCTCATCGCCATACTCCACCTTCGTGTCTTGATTTCTGTGCCACAACCATTTTGCGTGCGTGGCATTAACAATATCCAACGTTCCGAAGCCGAAGCTTGCTTCTCTCTTGGCAGACCAGGAGGGCACTGGGAACATGTAGCTATAAATAGACACAACAACAAAACATCAGAGATTCTTCATCAGAGAACATCGTCTGTCATATATATATATATATATATGCCTACGGTTTACCGGGCAGTTCTGTTTGTGACGATATATATATATATATATATATATATATATATATATCGTCACAAACAGAACTGCCCGGTAAACCGTAGGCAGAGAGAGAGAAGAGGACAACAAACGAGGGGCTGTGACAAACTGTTTCGTCGGAGTTTCACCGACTCATCAGGAGGCTGAACCCTATATATATATATATATATATATGAGTCGGTGAAACTCCGACGAAACAGTTTGTCACAGCCCCTCGTTTGTTGTCCTCTTCTCCCTCTCTGCCTACGGTTTACCGTAGGCAGTTCTATTTATATATATCGTCAAATAGAACTGCCTACGGTAAACCGTAGGCAGAGAGGGAGAAGAGGACAACAAACGAGGGGCTGTGACAAACTGTTTCGTCGGAGTTTCACCGACTCATCAGGAGGCTATATATATATATCGTCAAACATATACTCGCGATGATATTGTGTCACCTCTCCTGGATCTGAGCATTTTTTAGGCTCATCAGGAGCCACTTACAAGATACATACACGCCTCTTCTCTCTCTCTCTATATATATATATACATATATATCGTCACAAATAGAACTGCCCGGTAAACCGTAGGCAGAGAGAGCGAATGTATTTTAACAATGGCCCCTTCTATTATCGGTGGCAGCAGTCCGGTTGCTTATCACCGACAAGCATATTTGTACATCCAAAGAAGGTGGGCAGATCAGAGATTTTGCAAGCATGTCTTTCCTTTTTTTTGTTTGAACGGCATTCAGAGGTATTTTATTTATCTGATTCCGGCAGGACTTGAGCCCACGACTTTGTCCAGCACAGTTGATGGGTGCATATCTTACTTTTCGTGAGAAAAAATGATTTATTACAGACATTTTGCTTGCATCGCATACTTTTTGTCTGTTTTTTTATTACAGACTTTTTTTTCCTCTTTGAAAAACGTTTTTTACTAGTACAAGCCAAAAATGGGCCTGGCGACCCTCTCGCCAAATGTGGGGCGGTTCCTATAAAGGAAGAGGCATCATCGGCCAACTTCAGGAGAGGGCTTTATTGTAGAAAATTTGTGTGTGTGTCACTGTGGCATACTTTTTGCCTATTTATGCCATATTTAATATTATTTATTATATAATTATAGCCTGTGTAGCACACCGAACATGTTCGGCGCCCTACTGAGTAGCCGAACATGTTCGGACGCTCGGCCGAGCGGGAACCGAACATGTTAGGCCGAGCGCAATTAAGGGGACTGCCGAGCCCGTCCTCGTGTGTGTGTGGTCTGTGGGGTGTGTGTGGGGTGTGTGTGTGTGCGTGTGTGGTGTGTGTGTATGTTCAGGAGTGATGAGCAATGTCCCCAGGGCCCCCCAACCCCTATATATATTTAAAAAAATAAAAAAATAAAAAATAATAACAATGTTCGGGCTCGGTCTATTTTGAGCCACGTTCCGGCTCTGTACTGAGCATTGTGACCAAACCCTAACGTGATGCTACGCAGATTATAGCCTTTACACTGTTTTACAGCCATTTTCTGTGGGTGGCATACTTCTCATATATTTATTGAATTTTAATATTTTACCTATTATACATTATATATACATTTTGCGCATGTGGCATAGGTTTCATCTACTTATTTAATATTTATGGACACTACAATAATCACCACTAGAACAGTCGTTAGAGATGATGCCAAAGGGGGGTATACCAGGGGGTCTACTTATTATAGGCCCACAGCGACCATAGCAGTAAGAAGAAGCAAAGAGAAGAAAGATAGACGCGGCCGTATACAAACCCCCGGGCCTCATAATGAAAGGCCCTGCTCATTTGACCCAAAGGGGGGCATAGAAGGGGGTTGCACAAAATTCCAAGTGCACCCCAACTTGGCTATTTTTTTTTCAATTGTGATTTCCGTTGACGAGAATTTTGGAAAAAAAAAAAATCAGGGATATAGGATAGGTCCACGACTCCACACGATACCTGGCAAAGGATTTAGAAAATACACAAAAATGTTCTTTCCGGCCTACGAAAAAGTATTTTACTATTTTCGCTGAATGAGTGCACATTTCGATCAAAGTCACCGTCACCCCATAGGCGTGACGTTTCAGGTTGGTCAGGCCAGGGTCTGTTGTTTTCCTCAGGTTTGACAGAAGAAAAAAAAAAACAGGCTCCGCAGAGCTGGCAGTTCAGACCACCAGTACCTCTGGGCCTTCTTTTGCCGAGGCAGACTCCCACTGTATGCCACAGAAAAAATAAGCAGCCATGGAGGCGGCGTTCTTTTGCTTTTAGGTGACCGCTGCCAGCCATTTTGGTTTGGTAGCGCTGTTCATCAGAAGAATCCAGAATATCGGATCTTTTTTTTTCGATTCTCAAGTTCGCCCGGGCCAGTACTGGCGGATTAAACCTCCAGCCAATCAGAAGCTAAATTGACGAACCAAAAGTTCCACCAGGTCCCCTAATTTATTATCGGATTGTGGGCCTCATTTTTCCAATACTAGAATCTACAGTGCAGGGCTTTGAACCCCTAATTTATATTGGATTTCGGGCCTCACTTCCTGAGCCTAGAATTTACAGTGCCGGCCTGTGAACCCCTAATTTATTTTGGATTTTGGGCCTCATTTTTCCGAGCCTAGAATCTACAGTGCCGGCCTTTGAGCGGCTCGACTCTCCTAGTCGTATTGGACCTAGCATATGAAGACGGAAAGTGTAGACGTATGACACCGTCTTCGGCCTACGAGGTGAGATAAAGGTGTAGTCTAACCTCTAGTGAAAACCAGAGGTGATTGGAAAGCCTAATCAAACTCAGAGATAGCTGGTTTTCCATGAAATCTATTGAGGTAGAACGTGTGATCTTCAGTTCCAGGTTCTATTCCAGGTTCAATTCCAGGTTCAATTCCAGGTTCAATTCCAGGTTCAATTCCAGGTTCAATTCCAGATTCAATACCAGGTTTAATTCCAGGTTTAACTGCAGTTTCAATTACAGGTTCAGTTCCAGGTTCAATTCCAGGTTCAGTTCCAGGTTCAAAATTCCAGGTTCAGTTCCAGGTTCAATTCTAGGTTCGGTTCCAGGTTCCATGGCAGTTTCTTTTTTTGTTTTTTGTTTTTTAAAACGCCCAGGTTGTTGTAGAGGTGGGGTATCAGGTGCGGGAGTACTCTCCTGGGTTCAGTCACTCAAAGTTCGAATGACCCACTTGGCTTTCTGGAGCATTTTTCCCAGATGGAGTCCTATAGAGGCTTGAAGCCCTACGGGCCTCGTTAGACCCTCCTTGGAAAGTCCTCGGCAATTAGAATGTAGTCCTTGGAAAATTTTTCGGTTTTCGCGTCGTCATTAGACCGTGTCCTAATTCGACGGGTCCCAAGGAAAACCCTTGGAGGTCTCCGGCGGCCAATTTCATACGCATGCACGCAGCCACGGGGGTGGATGTCCGTCATCGTGCTGGGATGTCCCTGCGTCCTTGGACGTGGTCCAATGCCGGCGGCGGGGAGGCCTAACGGACTGAAGAAAAAAAGGGTGCCAACATACCGGTTCGTCCTGACAGCTGGACTGGAGACTGGGGCGAAACGTCTGTGCAGAGGAGTGATGGCGACCATGGCTTAAAAGGAGGGCATTGGAACATTGGGCGACGTAGCGTGTATGCGTAACAGTTGTCTACTTCGACGGCGCCTTCGTGTTCCGCATGCTCTTCGGACCACCACAGCTGAGCGCGAACGTAACTCTTCCGTGAAATGTGGAGAGTGCGAACATGGTCCCCATCAACATGCAGAAGGTGCAGCGAGGGCGCCCGCGGGTGAACGAGTGGTGGGTGCTTGTGCATTGCAAGTGCTGACGATGGAGGGAGAGCTCCCGGGTGGTGCGAAGGCATTAACGGCATTGGAGAGAAACACAATGGTCGCAGCTGTGTCAGTCGTCGCCATGCATTATCGCATGGAGAGAACTGCTGCCAGGACCCCACACAACGACGCATGCGTGGAACAACACGACAAGGAGCAGGAGAAGAGAGGCCAGCAGCACGCGAGGCGTGTACCAAACAAAGCTTGCATCAATGCGCCCGACAATGGCCAACAAAACACGCTATGCAGATGATTGCATTTGGTCGACAGTGCTTCAGCATCGCTCGTAGAAAAATATAAAAATTTGACCGTTGGACACCACGGCCGCCGATGCACGCACGGAAAACCCTGCTTTTGTGAAGCGCCTTGCAGCTGAAGAACCAGCCCCACACATTTCCGTGCCAACGGTAACGGTGGAGGGCCAATGGGGCCCCGTCGGGTTGGAGGCCGGCGATGTCCGCCCAATGGACCACGGACGACCTGTGCACCAACATCGACTCCAAATTTTCCTGTCGGCGCTCGCTCCAGAACACTCCGTCAATCGCGGCTCCTTTAACCCAAGGGACCTCGAGAGGACCCCTTGAATCCAAGGGCGTTTTGGCTGGGATTCTGAGGAACCCAAGGAAATCTCTCGGGAGCGTTTTCACATTCATTCAAGGGATTTGGTGAATTAGGACGAGGTGTAACGATGCCGATTTCCTAAAAATCTTATTTCCAAGGAGGGTCAACGAGCCCCTAAGTCCTATTGCAAGTCGTGTTTCACTTCCCGGTTCAAATCCAGGTTCAATTCTACTTACACCAGTTTTCACCTGAAGCTAAGTCTGGATCTTACCGATTTACGCTGTCAGGTCATGACGCTTCAGGCCTGGACCAGTAGTGAACCTGGAAGGCAACTTTCCCAAAAAAAAAAAAAAAAAAAACAGTTGCGAGCCTGCGAAGCTAGCTTTGTCAACTTAGGCTCGTGTGAACCGGTGGTCTAATAAGGAAAAGTGGATGCATAGATGGATGGACGCCAACATGGCTGGGTGTAGGAATAGAACATGGATGTGTGGCTAAAAAAAATAGAATAGGGAGAACAACTTCAGACACGACTATTCTATCATACATACCTTCTGGAAAGGCCTTCCCTGTTCCCTCCATCGCCCACGACAATGTGTGTGATGCCGCACTTGTCAGCTTTCCACTGGTACAACGGGACCTGCAGATTCATTTATTCAATCAGAAGTCATTTCCCCACATGTTTGCAACCGCAGTCGGCCATAGCCATAAAAGACAAGCAACATCTTCACATCCTCTCAGGAGCACCTCTCAACTACAAGGACATCCTTACCCCGCCCTCTTCCCCCTACTCCCCCC